GAGCCGTCACTCAATGCGGCCCCGCCTATCAGGGCCGGTCCAGGCAGGGGTTGGGGCGGGCCCACCGGCGCGCGTCTGTGGCGTCATCGCGCCGACGCTAGGGGCGTCCGCTGGGCCCCGCCTACTCCATTTAAATTGCCGGCTGCATGGCGGCGCGCACTCGGCCGCTTGATCTGGGCGTCCCCGAGGGCGGGTAAGGTACAGGACTTTTTTGTCTCGAGTCATACTGTTTTCGGACACCTAGGGATGCGTTTTAGGCCCTGTGCACCGTTTAGCGCCGCCTGCGGGCCGGCCGTCACCTGCGAGTCCGCTGACCCTGAACGACCCCCAGTTGCGGCGCACCGGAAGTGCTTGTCCCTTTGTGCGTCTCTTGCCCGGAAGTGGTTCCTTTCCTTTTCCCCTCCCTCGGGGCGGTCCCTGTGTCTCTAAGGGCGGGTTCCCGGGACTAGGTTTTGGCCCCGGATGTCACGCAGCTTTTTTTTTTTTTCTTTCAGGAGTTACCTTTGATTTTTTTTTACCCACGTATGATCGGAAAGGCAGGACATGGTTGCACAGTGCTTGGGCGCCGCTCACGCCCGTCAGTCAGCCTCGCGCTGTGTGACCTTGGGCAGGTTGCACAACCTCTCTGAGCTGCCCAGGCGACTCAGCTGCTAACTTGTAAAGATGCTGCCACAGCGAGCCCTGGACAGACGGCAGCCACTGTTTCATCCTGGGGCACCATTGGCTCTGGACGCACTTTAGAAGCACCTTTAAACGGTGGCCAAGCCGGCTGACATCCCCACCCACCTTCAAAGGCCTGACACATGTCTCTCTCCATTCACAGTGCCTTCCCTGTGTCATTCTTCATAACCAAGCCTGGTGGAATGTCAGCCTTCCTGGTTGACGGCTTCCTAGGTCCTTTTAAAGGACAGATGTACTTCTCACTGAGAATGGGAGAGTCTGAAACATGCAAGACTCTGTGCAGTGAGCAAAAGAGAGGAAGGAAGTCCCCCGAAGGGCCTTGACCTCGGGCTCTTTCTTTCTGCCCCATTTGGGGTGCCAGTCGGCTGGGCTCTGCCTCCTGAGCACACGGTGCGCAAGCGCCATGGATGTGACAACTAACGGCATGCTTTGTTGTTCATGCTCCCCCGTAGCCTTGGAGACAGCGGACCCCGAAGCACCCCAGTGCCTGAGCCTAGCATGACCGCATTGCGCTGTGCACTCCTTACAGCCACTGGGATCGAGTGACGGGAAGGGGACGTGTACCTCGGGGATGCAGACGGACACACTCCACCCTTAATCCTTGCACCGGCCTCTCTCCGTGGTCCAGCGCGGTCCTCCAGCCAGAGCATCCCCCGGGAAGCCTAAGAGAAAGGAAGACGCTTGCACGAGAGCCCCCCCATCCCGGCTGGCGACGCGGACCGACGTGACCAGCCTTGGTCAGACTGCAGGGCTGGGCTGCTTCAAGGTGATGCGGTGACATGGGCCGCGTACGGAGAGACACGTGCACGTAGCCACCCTCGGTGGTCCTGCACGTGGGCGCCGCCCGAGTGTGTGCGTGGAGGAGACGCACAGACACGTGTCCCCGGGCAGGCTGGGCGAACGCCTCGTCCGGGGAGCCTCTGCGGAAGGGAAAGGCGTGCTCACCTGTCATCACCTCCCTTGCTGGTGAGTAAGATGCCCTTTGCTTTGTCTCAGGGGAAAAGTATTGCAAAAGCTCCGTGCTCGCCTTAAAAATTCCCCTTATTTCTGTTAATACCCCATATCGTATGCCTTTCTATCTTGCATCTATTTATCACCTATCTATCTATCTATCTATCCGGTTCGTCTCTGTAGTCTCAGCGCCAAGCATGACGCTCAAGTGTACGATGAACCCATATTTGCTCTGGAGGTTGGATCGAAGGAAATCACCCATGCGATGCGCGTGTCCGGTAAGGTCATCGCTGCGTAAGAACGCCCTTCGGTGATTCGTTTGCTGGCTTTTGCTGCTGCGGCTTCCTGAGTGATTTGAGTGTTGAACTGGCGTGTGTATGTGGGCGTTTTATCAAACATGCGTTGCACGCCCCTCGCAGCGCGAACCCTGTGCTGGCACGGAGCGCGCCCGGCTGCAAGAACTCCGTTCCTCTTCGTCGGGGATGGAGGAGTCCGGTGGGCAGGCAGGCGTCCGACGGATAACGAACGGCCACGTGCGCTGGCAGCGCCACCCGGCTGCCCTGGTGTCTGCCCTGAGCGAGAAGAGGAAACCTTTAGGTCTGGGCAGTACCTACAGGCACGGCCGGCACAAAAGCGAGGTGCCCACACCTGACAGCTCCTTTCCCCGCCCCCCGCTTCCTCCCACGAGCGTGTATCCTGTATTCCGTAAAGCGGGAGAGACGCACAGGCCAAGGGCCGCCCGCCTCACCTCCGCCCCGAGCACAGGCCCTCAGCTCGGAGCCTCTGAGCCTGAGCCCGTCTTCAGCCTCCCGTGCAGGTCGCGTGACTTCCTCTCCCGGCGTGGGCACCTGCTCGCACACGAACACCTGCCTCTGCGGGCCCCGCTGCACCCACTCCGTGCCTCGTGGAAGCAATCCCTCGTGTTGAGAGCGCCGTGGAGTTCAGAGAAAGGCGCTTGTGCCGCCGGGACCTGGAAGAGAACGTCGCCTCTGCACCCCCAGAGAGACAGGCTGCACGTCTTCCCACCGATGGCCGTGTCCGAGGATGACAGAGCCCAAGCGGCCACCCGCGAGGGTCCCCTGAGCTGTGGAGGGGGCCCACCCGGGGGGAACCGGGGCCCAGGGAGAGAGAGGGGGACGCACCGAGGTGTGCCGGCGTTTCTCGGGCCTGCGGGTGCACCTGTGGCCGGCCATCCCGCACGCCCCGCACCTGCGCCTTCTGTTTTCTTAACCTGGTGGGAGCTGTTTTCAAGTCATGCAAGCAAACCAGCTCTCGCTAATGCAAGTGTTTTTCCCTCTGCACCTGTTTTCTCCCTGTTAGAAATATACGGGAAGAGCCGACTCTTTAGAGGAATGCTGGGTGAATTCTTTCTAAATGGAAGGATTTTTTCACAAAAAGTGTACGACATATATATGTAATAATAATATCTCATGTATTTCTGTCGTATAGGCCTATATACGTATACTTAACAAAAGACTGAGAACATTTCAAAACAGAAATAGGCATCCTTAGGAAATGTACGTCGTGGTCGGATACATGGGAGACTGTATACTAATCTGTAGGTCTTCCTTACATGGCGTAGAAACTAAGGATCAAGTTATTCCTAGTCAAGAGAAACCGCTTTCAAACGTGATACGTATTTATAAGCTTCACGGTAACACGTGCAAGGTCCCAAATGTGATATTATACACATTGAGCTGAGACACAGAGGTGGTAGAGCTTCTCGGAGTGTTTCTGTTATTGTATTAGAATTACTGAATTACCGAGGTCACCCCGATACGCTGTACAAGCGTAAGATCGAGCCGATAAGCTTTCAG